TACTCAGTCACATCAGGTAGAGGTGAAAAAACATAGAAAGAGATGGGGTCAGCCGGGCGCGGTGGCTCACGCCTGTAATCCCAGCACTTTGGGAGGCCGAGGCGGGTGGATCACGAGGTCAGGAGATCGAGGCCATCCTGGCTAACACTGTGAAACCCTGTCTCTACTAAAAACACAAAAAATTAGCCAGGTGCAGTGGCGGGTGCCTGTAGTCCCAGCTACACGGGAGTCTGAGGCAGGAGAATGGCATGAACCTGGGAGGCGGAGCTTGCAGTGAGTGGAGATCGCGCCACTGCACTCCAGCCTGGGCAACAGAGTGAGACTCTGTCTCAAAAAAAAAAGAAAGAGAGAGATGGGGTCTCGCTGTGCCACCCAGGCTGGAGTACAGTGGCTCACTGCAGCCTCAAACTCCCGAGCTCAAGCAACCCTCCCATCTCAGCCTCCCAAATTGCTGGGATTATAGGCATGAGCCACCACACCCCGCCGAAAACATTTTTAAGCTTTAAGAAAAGAGACGGGTTGGACGGGGCTGTGTGAGGAAAGCAAAGGAGACAGGCTGTGCCATGGCCTTGCTATGTGACCACAGGTCCCTTCTCTTCTTTTCTCTGGTTCTTGGTTTTCTCCTCCTAATACAAATAGGTATATATGTATGTATGTATGCATGTATGTATGTATGTATGTATGTATTATTTTGAGACTGAGCCTTGCTCTGTTGCTCAGGCTGGAGTGCGGTGGCATGATCTCGGCTCACTGCAACCTCCACCTCCTAGGTTCTCCTGCCTCAGCCTCGCCAGTAGCTGGGATTACAGGCATGCGCCACCACAACCAGCTAACTTCTGTATTTTTAGTAGAGACAGGATTCCGCCATGTTGGCCAGGATGGTATCAAACACCTGACTTCAGGTGATCCACCCTCCTCGGCCTCCCAAAGTGCTGGGGTTATAGACGTTGAGTCATCACGCCCCGCCAAATAGGTATTTACTGGGCACCTGCTGTGTGCCAGGCTCCAGGCCAGGCGTGTCACAGATCATCTGAAACCAACAGCGGAGACGTGACTTATTCAGGTCTCTACACTGGTTGGTGGCAGAGAGGGGCCTGGAATGGGGGTTGAGGGTAGGCAGAGGTTCTGACTCCCAGCTCAAGGGCACTGCACCAGCTGCTTCCATGTTTTACTTCCGGAGCTGCCTCAGTGACAGGTGGGGACAGGTGGGGACAGGTGGGGATGGGGGGGAGGGGCTTCTCTTTTCTCCCAAGCTGAGGAGGGGCCTGCAGCAGGTTGGCACAAAATAGTTGTTTTGCCCTCCGGTGGCCACAAGCAGTAGTGCAGGTGTCAGGCCTTGGGGGTCCATGAGGCAGAGTCCCTTCCCACTGTCCCCAGCACCACCACCCTCAAACACACACGCAAGGCATCTGTCTGGGTGCGACTAGGTCTGTTGGAGCATTCCAAAACGCGCACTTTGTCAAACGTAACCTGGGTGCTGGGGGCAGGCGGGTGGACAAGTTCCTGATATTTGCGGAGATCAGGGGACTCCTGAGCCAGTTTAAGCGGAGATCAGGGAAAGCACCCAAGAAACCTGAAGGATAAGTGGAAATGAACCAGAAAAGACTAGTTCTGCCTATTCCTAAGCGGAGGGAACGGCGCACGCAGAGGCCTGGGGATTTCACTCTGGCTGGAAGGTAAGGGGAAGAGGCACAGTGAAGGAGCCACAGCTGGGTAGACTGGGTGAGCCATGGGAGGAAGGGTGGACTTTCTCCTGGAGGCACTAGGGAGTCACAGAAGGATTTTGAGCAGGGGAGAGACAAAATCAGATAAAAATGTTATTATTATTATTTTATTATTTTATTTTATTTTATTTATTTTTTTTTTTGAGATGGAGTCTCGCTCTGTCGCCCAGGCTACAGTGCAGTGGCCGGATCTCAGCTCACTTCAAGCTCCGCCTCCCGGGTTCATGCCATTCTCCGGCCTCAGCCTCCCGAGTAACTGGGACTACAGGCACCCGCCACCACACCCAGCTAGTTTTTTTTTTTTTTTGTATTTTTTTAGTAGAGACAGGGTTTCACGATGTTAGCCAGGATGGTCTCGATCTCCTGACCTCGTGATCCGCCTGTCTCGTCCTCCCAAAGTGCTAGGATTACAGGCTTGAGCCACTGCGCCTGGCCTATTTTTTTTTAATGTAAGCTGAATAGATGGAAATTTTAGGAAGATCAGCCCGACTGCTGTGTGGGAGAGGGGTTGGAGCAGGCCAAAGAGAAGGCTGTGCCAGTGCTGGTTCTGGGCCCATCCCGGAATCTCGAGGCCCAAAGTTTGTAGGGGCGTGAGGGAGGGGAAGGGATCCCACTTTGTCTACAGAGCGGGAGCCAAGCCCGCTCAGAGAAAAACGACAGTGACCCAACACTCACAAATCTCTTCTCACAGCCATGCTTTATGTCCCCGAGAGAAAGAGGTGATTCTCAACATTCTGTGGAAAAGAAACAGAGTAAAGAGACATGCCTGGGTCACATAAAAGCTGGTTGATGGCCAAGCCTCAATTCTGGGGGGATCAGGGTGACCCCAAAAGTGAAAACATCCCAGTGGCTGGCTCTTCCTACCAAAATTCCTGGCCCTGGGCTATGGGGGGTTTGGCTGAGGGGCCAGGAGTGAGCACCCAATGTCCTCAGGCCACCCTCAAGGCTCCCTTGGGTCCTGGCAGACCTCAGGCTCCCCACCCCCTGTACCCAGGCAATGAGCCCGAGGTCCGCAGTGGCTATCGCCTACCCACAGCCTGCAGGCTTTGTCCTTGGAAACAAGCAGCCTGTCAAAGCTGCCCTCTGTAAAGCGGATGGATGGCCCTTGGCTGCCAGCTGGACAATGCCCAGGCTCTGCGGAGCGGAGATTAGGCCAGCTGTGGCCCAAACCAGTCCCAGCCGCTCAGGGACCTCAAATCGGGCTCCATAGATGCCCTGCCCCTCCATGGTGCTTGATCATCTTCAGGAGTGACTCCTGGAAAATGTGATCCCCTGGAAGGGAGGGAGTTGGGCTGGAGGCGCCAGGGCAGGGGCATCACCAAAGATGGGAAGGTGGTTGCTTAAGATACAGAAAGAGATTTGGGGTGGGACAGGAAAGGCACGGTGAGGAGGGCTGGAAGCCACACAAAGGAGACTGGCAGCGTTGGGGTTCGGAGGCTGTCCTGCAGCCCAGTCCTTCCTTGTTTTGTGACCTTGGGCCAGTCCGTTCTCATCTCTGGGCTCAGTTTGCGCATGCATAAAATGGGCTCCTAAGAATCCCTGCCTTGAGTGAGATGGTGCAAGTGTGGGAAGGCCCAGCCAGGGCCAAGCAGAGTAGGGCTCCATCCTGGGCCTCTCCTTCCCGCACTTCTCATCTTGAGCCTCTCCTTCCTGCACTTCTCACTGGCTCTGGAAACTGGGACTGGGTGGGAAGTGGGCGGGTCGCAAACAGGAGAGAACTAAGTCCTGCCCACGTTTTGCTGGACCAGGAACCTGGGAAATGCTCCGAGATCTGCCCCAAGCAGAGGCCTCTTGTCTCCCAATTTTTAATTTGAAAATTATCAAACCTAGAGAAACCCACCAATATATCTTCCTTTGGTATATATTGATTACCCTCCTTCTTCTTAAAATAAACCATCACAAGAGCAAGACCCTGTCTCTCTATATATATAGAATAAAAATAAAACAAAAATTGTTGCCAGCAGGCTTTTTTTGGGGGGGAAGACAGAGTCTCGCTCTGTCACCCAGGCTGGAATGCAGTGGGATGGTAACAGCTCACTGCATCTTCAACCTTCCAGGCTCAAGCAATCCTCACACTGCAGCCTCCCAAGTAGCTGGGACTCCAGGTGTGCACCACCACACCCAGCTAATTTTTAAATTTTTGTAGACACAGGGCAGGGTCTCCCAATGTTGCCCGGGTTGGTCTCAAACTCCTGACCTCCACTAGCCTCCCATCTCAGCCTCCCAAAGTGCTATGACTACAGGCATGAGCCATGGCACCCAGCCTGGCAGGATAGCTTTTAAGTGAGTTTTGACAAGAATGATAAGTGGACTGTGTGCCAGGCACCATGTATTAGCTACGAGCTTGGTACATGTTAAGTCAAAGTCACTTAAATCTCACAGCACCTCCATGAGTCATGGACTATTTATCAACCACGCATTACAAATGGGGAAACTGGCTTGGAGAAATTAGGTGTCATGCCTTAGGTCAGAGTCAACATGAACTTGGATGAACTTGGATGGATCTACCTGCCCCCAAAGCCTGGGCCCTGGGGTCACTCAGTCTAATCTCCCTCCTAACCAGGCATCCCTGCTACTGAGGCCAGGAAGGTATGCCCCCAGTCCCTACGCCACAATTCCATGGAGGATCTTTGCCTTTGCATCCCCCTAACCCCTCAGCATCCCTCTGCAGCCCTGGCCCTGGCTCTGCCCCTATTCCCTTCCCCCAGACAGGCCCTCTCTGCCATCCCTGCAGTACCTTTAGAATGGCCTGGATGAAGATCCAGAAAGCCAGGTTCAAGGCCCGGCTCTGCCACTGGCCACTGGCCTAAGCCAGGGTGAGAGCCCTCAGTTCTCCTCTGGAAAATGGGTATGCCCGCCCCCAGCCCTTCCTGGCAGCAGGTGGAAAGTATAGGAGAAGCGTCCTGTAGGGAGCCGGCCCCCGCAGGCAGTAGGCCTGACACTGAGCACTCCCTCCTCCCCTTACCATCCCAGCCTCCGAGGGGCCTGGGGAGCCCAAAGACCCTTCAGCTTCCACTAGTTTGCTCTGAATCCAAGTCTCACAGGTGGCCCCCTCTAGTCGGGTGACTTTAACCAGTGTGTTTGGGGAAGGTAGTGACAACAGGCCCGGGGCGAGGGACTGAAGGTCTCCTCCTACCCACCTAGAGGCAGGTCTCTGGCTGGCTGGGCTGGGTGGGGGGCCTAAGAGGGCGGGGTGGGGAGCGGAAAGGGGCGTGGCAGAGGGGCGGGGTCTCCTGGGTCGAGGGGCGGGATCTCCTGGTACCAGCCAGAGCCAGCCCTCGCCTCCCGGACTTCAGTCCCCGCAGACGCCTCACAGACGGTGAACAGCCACAGGCTCCAGGTCAGGCAAAGCGGGTGAGGAACTGGAGCTGGGAACAGGGGAGGGACCAGCGGGTGAAGGGGAGGCCCCTGACTCAGGCCCATTGGCGCCTCGCAGAGGACGGACGTGCAGTGGCGGGCAAACCTCGCATCTCCCTCTCTGGCCTCGACGAGTGTTTGGAGAGCAAGAAAAGTGGGCTAGGGGGCTTGAGGGCGCGAATCCAGGCAGACGTGAACGAGGGAGTGCTTTTCAGAGTCCAAAACGCGGGAGCCTCCGAGTCCTCCGGTGAGGGGCATGTTGGATTTTCGTGCTGTCTGAAAGAGGGAAAAGGGGTGAATGATCACGGGTGATGGCTCAAATGCTGTCACCAGGTGGCAGGAGGCCGGGTGTCAGGACATCGTGTTTTCTCAGGCACATTTGTGTAATGCCAAGGCTGCAGCAGAGACCCAGGAGGCTCTTCCCTGCTGGTGGAGTCCCCCAGGTTGACGGGAGTGACCCCCAGATCACCCAGGGTTAGGGTATCCCCGCTGAGCACAGCGCCTGGCTGCAGCACACTCACCAGCGGGAACCGCAGGCTGAACCTGGAGGAGGTACTACTGAGAGACTGGGAGGCAGTCCAGGCAGGAGGGATGGCATGGTCACAGGTCTGGAGAAGGGAAATTCAGAAATGGATGCACCTTGGGGAGCAGGGGAAAGGTGGCGGCACGAGGAGCGGTGGACAGGTGAGGCCAGGGAACTCAGCAGAGGCCTGAGGAAGCAGAGCCTTGGCGGAGAACACCAAGAAACACAAAGAAGCCCACCTGGTCCTGAACTTCCCCACCCCCACAGGGACCCTGAGCTCTGTTTCCCCCTCTCTGGCCAGCGACTGCTGCTGCCTCCTCCTCCCCCAACTCTCCAGGGCGACAGTGTTTCCTTGCTTCGGTCCTGAAGGGGCTCCTGGAGACCATCTTTTGTGCAAGTAAATGTCGTCCCTAGCGGGAGGGCCACCTGGGCTTCCAGCCCACTGGTTGGTTCCCAGCTCAGTGGGGTCTGGGAGCCAAGCAAAGGGCAAAGGGACCCTGCAGAAATCCAAGGGGGAAGCAAGGCAGGATGCCAAGTTGCTTTCCTGTGACTCTTTCCTCAGTCCATGTTGGCCTGCCTGTGACCCCTGCTGTCGGTCACCTGCTCTGTTGGATCCAGGATGGCACCGTGGTGCTACTGTTTCCTCTGCCTCTTGGTACCTTCACCTCTGGGAGGGCGGTGCCTGGGAGGAAGTCAAGGGGACTCACAGCTTCAAGGGTTCCCAGTGGCCATCCCACCTCATGAGGTCACTGCAAAGGTTACGCAAGATAAGCCCTGGCACAGATGGAATAAAAGCACTCACTAAGGGCGACCCCTCTTACTCATCAGCCTGTTTACTCCTCAGGCAGGGAAAAGGTTCAGGGCAGTGAAGGGCCCTCCCAAGATCTCACTCTGAGTGGTGGGATTTGAATTCATGTCTGACTGCAAAGCCTGCAGCTTCCACTGAATGCCCCCTCCCACCCACCCCCAGAGTAGACATTCAATAACAGCTAGTGTGCAGGGAGGGCTGCCCCACCGCCACCTGTCTTCTTCTCTCCCAGATCAGAAGTCTCTCTGGGACCCCCTCCAATTCCTCAGGTGAATCAAGGAATCCTTGGGGCCCAGGTTGGTATGAGGGATCCCCCCAGGGAGGGTCCCCATCCCCCAGCTAAGCAAGTCTGTGATCCAAGGGATGCATTGGCTTAGAATGCAAAGGAGGGGAAGAGTGACATTTAGTTTCACCCCCACCATACCAGGCCCTGCGAGGAAAGCTTCACTGGTTTCCATCTCATTCCTGCCATTGTGCAGATGACGAAACGAGCTCGGCAACAGGACAGGACTCAGGGGGCCATAGACATGGCCGGGTTCAGCCCCATCCAGCCCGAATGACTCCAAGCCCAGTGTCCTTAGCTCCGCCCAGCCCTGGAAGAGTCAGATGCCCACAAAATGCACCCCCACCCGTCTCTCCTATCGTTTTTAGCCCCCGTGGCCCCCGGCGAGGTGGTGGAGACTGCAGGTGGGGTGTGCAAGTTCTCTGGACAGCGACTGAGCTGGTGGCAGGCCCAAGAGTCCTGCGAGCAGCAGTTTGGCCACTTGGCAGTGCAGCCCCTTGATGGGGTTCTTGCTTCACGGCTGCGCGATCTGGTCTGGGTGGGCCAAAGAGAGGTCCCTCTGCGGAGACCCCCACAGAGGCGTGAGTGTGGGCCCCTGGAAAATGGGAGCAAGGGGCAGAGGCTCGGGGGACCTTAAGAGATAGGAGCCCACAGTGACAATACTTGCAGAATGAGCCGGGAGTAAGACCCCATTGCATCTCCAGGTTCCCTTGCCCTGGACTGGACGTCGGGGTTTGACTCTTGGGCAGAGGAACGCTAGCCCTCATTTCCTCCTTCCTGAGGTGGGGAGGCACCCCAAAGCCTGGAAAGACTCCGCCGCTAAGCCAAAGGGCAGGAGCAGGACCATGCTCACAGGGGAGGAAACTGAGGTCGCGGCCCACGTGTCCCCGCAGGTGCGCGCACCACTGCCGTGCTGGTGTTTGGCGAGAAGACGGCTGACCGCGCGGCGCGGCTGCTGAGCCCCCTGCCTGAGCTGGCGGCGCTGACTGCGTGTGCTCACGTGCAGTGGGACTGTGCCTCGCCCGACCCCGCCGCGCTCTTCTCCGTTGCCGCGCCCGCGCTGCCCAACGCGCTGCAGCTGCGCGCCTTCGCCGAGCCAGGGGGCGTAGTGCGCGCTGCGCTGGTAGTGCATGGGCACCACGCGCCCTTCCTCGCAGCCTTCCGCGCCGACGGCCGCTGGCACCATGTGTGCACCACGTGGGAGCAGAGGGGTGGGCGCTGGGCGCTGTTCTCCGACGGGAGGCGGCGCGCTGGGGCGCGGGGACTGGGCGCCGGCCACCCGGTGCCGTCCGGCAGCATCCTGGTGCTGGGCCAGGATCAGGACTCCCTGGGCGGTGGCTTCTCGGCGCGAGACGCCTTCAGCGGCAACCTCACCGACTTCCACCTGTGGGCGCGGGCGTTGAGTCCCGCGCAGTTGCACCAGGCACGGGCCTGCGCGCCGCCCCCAGAGGGCCTGCTCTTCCGCTGGGACCCGGGCGCCCTGGACATCGCACCCTCGCTGCTGCCCATGGTGTGGGTGCGCCTTCTCTGTCCCGGTACGATCCGCCCCGGCCCGCCCCGGCCCCACTCCAAGGCCCCGAATCCTTCCCTTCCGACCCTGGAACTCGATCCACCCCTTGCCAACCAAGCCACCCCTAGCTCTGGCCACGCCCTCTCCAGGCTGCCGTGCCAGCGAGCTCCAGCATAAGCCTGGTCCCAGCATAAGCCTCCTCCTTACCCCTACCCCGAGCTGGCCGCAGTGTCCCTCTCTCAGGTTTCACATTGCCCCTCATCCCGGGGCCGTGCATCCTGGCTCGCCAGGGTGCGCAGGACCCCTAGGGAGCCCTAACAGCTGCCCCGCGCCTGCCAGTGCCCTCCGAGGAGTGCCCTGCGTGGAACCCGGCACCTCGCAGTGAGGGCTCTGAACTCTGCCTGGAGCCGCAGCTCTTCCTCTGCTGCTACCGGACAGGTGCGCCCTAGCTGTGCCCCTGGGCTCTGCTGAAGGGAAAGCCGATGTGAACCGGAGTAGACTGAGAGGGGGTGAGCTATTGGCAAAGTCTGGGAATTCAGAATCATCTCAGAGCTTCAAGGTCTCCATGGAGTCTAAGCTACAGAGCAGTGGGTTCAGACGGACCTGAGGGTGAATCCAAATTGTGTGATGTTGGGCAAGCTCTTTAGCCATTCTGTGCCTCAGTTTCCCCATCTGGAACACTGTGTGTAAGACTCTGGACACACAGCCAGCAAGGTGCTCTTCCTTCCCTGGGCAGCACGTGGTGGGTAGAGGTCGCTGAACAGGCTGGCACCTCTGGGCAGGAGTATTGCCCGGGACCCAGCCTGGCATCCATTCCTTTGCAGAGACCTATCATCGGCTGCAGGATGCCCAGTCATGGCCTGGCCAGGATGTTATCAGCCAAGTCAATGCCTTGGCCAATGACATTGTGGTGAGCTCCCTTTCAGGGGCTGGCGAGCCTGGGGGCTCTGTGGGTCACCTCGCTGCACCTCAGTTTCCTCCCCTGTAATGGTGTGGCTCCTGGGGGGATCCCCTCATAACAACCAGACCCAGAGTCAGTGGCTCCTCTGCCCACAGCTCCTCCCGGACCCCCTCTCCGAAGCCCATGGGACCCTGTCCCCAGCGGAGGCCTCCAGCTTCCTGGGCCTTCTGGAGCATGTCCTGGCGATGGAGATGGCTCCACTGGGGCCGGCCGCACTTCTGGCTGTTGTGCGCTTCCTGAAGAGGGTGGTGGCCCTTGGGGCTGGGGACCCTGAGCTGTTGTTGACAGGCCCCTGGGAGCAGCTGAGCCAACGCGTTGTATCTGTGGCCAGTCTGGTCCTGGAGGAGCAGGTGGCTGACGCATGGCTGTCCATCCGTGAGGTGAGGCCGGCAGGGCTGGGTGGGCAGAGGCCTGGGCTGTGGTTCCAGCCTAGCCACCAGCTGGTTGTGTCGCTCTGGGGGAGTCAGCACCTAGCTCTGGGCTCCATCTCTGCATCTATCGGGAGAAGTTTCTCTTTTGTCTATTTGATAAGTTTAATTTCCACAAACAATTGCACTTGAGGCTGGGCACGGTGGCTCATGCCTGTAATCCCAGCACTTTGGGAGGTTGAGGCGGGTGTATCACATGAGGTCAGGAGTTTGAGACCAGCCTGGTCAACATGGTGAAACCCTGTCTCCATTATAAATACAAAATTAGCCAGGCCTGGTAGTGGGAGCCTGTAATCCCAGCTACTCGGGAGGCTGAGGCAGGAGAATCACTTAAACCCAGGGGGTGGAGGTTGCAGTAAGCCGAGATCACATCACTGCACTCCAGCCTGGGTGACAGAGTAAGACTGTCTCAAAAAAAAAAAAAAAAAAAAAAAAAAAAAAAAAAAAAAAAATTGCACTTGACCAATAGCTTCTGTAGTTAAATGAAATGATTAAGAGCTGCCAGTTAGTAAGAGCCTCCCCCATCTCCAAGAACCTGCTGACCACCTTAAGTGGGGGATCTATACGGAGCGGACAGTCCACCTTGTCTGCCTAAACAGCCCAGACACTCTGGACAACATGAGAGGTGCTGTCCAGATGGAGAGGCTGTTGGAAATCTTGTACTGGCAGAAGTAGCTGTCGGCCTGGGAGTGATCAGTCCAGAGCAGGGGGGGAACCAAGAATCATGAACAGTGCCTGCAAATCATCTGGGGTTGAAGAAGCAAACCTGGTACCCCTGGTGGGCCTCAGAGGACAGATTTGGGACTAGGACATGGGGGTAGGGGAAGACGGTGTAACACAGGAGGCTGGTTCTATGGAATGATTCGCTATGGGTAGTGAGCTCCCCATCCTGGGAAGTGTGCAAGCCCATCGTTGATTAGGGATCTGAGACACTGCAGTAGACTGGGGAAAGCCAGACTGAAGCTCAGTTTTCTTCCCTGGGGAATGGGGATGATCACACCAGCCTTGCTAAGGCAATGGAGAGGCATTAGGGATGAACAGTGTGACTTGCCCAGCACAGAGTAGGTGCCCCATGAATGCAGGTTCCTCTCCTCCCTCCCCTGCTCTCACCACTCCCACCCATGGCTTTCCTTTTGGAATCTCAGTGTTGAGCAACCATTACAGGTCTAGCACTGAGCCACAGCGAAGGGGTAGGCATGGCCCAGCCTTCCGAGTGTGCCCTGGCTGGCAAACAGGAGGATGGGGTGGCTTGGGAGATAGAATTGGATAGGTCGAAGGAGGCTGGGACACGCAGGGTTTCGAATGTCAACCTGAGGACCCAGGACTTGATCCTGGAGTCCTTAAAGAGCCACGGAGGGTCTGGAGAGGGTAGGACCACCTCCCAGATCATGGAGCGTTCATTCCAGCACTCAGGGCAGGCAGCAGTAGGGTGCAGAGTGTGACAGGAAGCTGAGATGCAGCATCCTCCCAGGTGGTTGGTGGGCCTATGACCCTGGTGGCGAGTGTGCAGCGCCTGGCACCCCTGCTGAGCACCACAATGACCTCAGAGCAGCCCCGATTGCGCATCCAGCACCGCCATGCTGGTGAGCCTGCACCCACCTGCCCACATGGCTGGACTCAGACCTCCCTCCTCGCCCTGGTGACTGGGAGTTGTCTGCACTTCCACAGGCACTCTATTCTGTTTCCTGCCTTTGCCCATGCTGTGCCCTGAATTCAGAATGCCCTCTCTCCCTTGGTCTCCTAGCAAATGCCTATACATCCTTTAGAACCCCGCGTGGGCATCACTCCCTTTAGGAAGCCTTCCTGTTTTAGCTCTATCCTCCACTGAGAGACAGTTCCTCCCGCCTCTATTACCCCAGAACCTTAAACGTGTCTCTCATTGCATTTCTGGCAATTACATAATGGGATTATCTCCCTCCACGGGACACTCCCTGAGTGGTAAGCCGTCTCTGCATCTCCGGGCCAAGCCCAAGTACACACTCGGTGAATGTTTGTAGCCTGAATGGGGGTGCACCTGTGGTGAAGCTTCAGGTACAAACACGTGTCCTTTGGGCTCCCACCAGTTTCTGGTGACTCATCAATATTCAGGTCCTGCCTCGCGGTGACCGCCCCCGCCTTCTCAGTGACCCCCTTCCCCTGGAATTGGAAAAGTCAGATTTGCCTTGGACAAGTTGCTGAACCTCTCTGAGCAGGAATGGTGGACTCTTAGGCCTATGGCAGGAAGAGAGAGATCCAAACCCTGCTAGCTGGGCCGGCTCAGCAGAAAGACCTCACTCCGAGGTCCAGCCACCCAGCCCCGTTTACCCCCAGGCCTGGAGGTACGCAGCTTACGCTTGAGGGAGGCCAGCACGAGGGGCTGCTTCTTCACAATGCCCGGTGGGCGTCCAGAGGGGCCTGGCCATATCCACATTCCTGCAGGTGAAGTGAGACAACTCCTCGGAAAAGGTGGGTGAGGATGAGGGGGTGTTGAGAGCCCTGTTGGGTTCTGGGTCAAACCTCAGCTCTAACCATTGCCAGCTGTGCTACTCATCTTTCAGAGCCTCAGTTTGCTCATCTGTAAAATGGGCACATTACTACTTGCCTTGTGGCTTATGAGGTTAAAAGCACCCACCACATAGTGGTGTTCACTTAGTCTCCTCCACGGAACCACGCACATCTTCCCTCAGGAGTGGGTAGTGGAGGGAGACCCCCTGTGCTTGATGCCATGCAGTGGTGGGGGATTAGGGCAAGGGGCAAAGGGCCTTGGAGTTGTGAGGTTAAGCACATGGACTGTGGGTGCTTGGAATTTTGGCTCTTCCACTTCTTAGCTATGTGATATTAGGGAAGTCATTTAACCTCTCTGAGCCTCAGTTTCCCTATCTGTAGAGTGGGGAGAGCATCACCCTTAGGGCCAGCTGGTGGTGCTTGCGCAGCCACCGGGTGGTGCCTTGGTGCCCCTTCCACTCAGCCAGGCCTCTCTGGAGTCACCATGATCCACAGCTGGTTCACCTCCAGAGTCTTCCAGCATACCCTAGAGGGGCTGGACCTACAGCCCCAGGCCCCTGCCAGCTCAGAGGAAGCAAACAGGGTGCAGAGGTGAGTAGGCGCCACCTGGAAGGTTGTGAGGGCCTGTGTCCCCTCCCCAGGAAGGCCAGAGCCCGCGTTCTGGTGGGTGCATGTGTCCTTAGCAGCCCAGGGCCCGCCGTTTCCCACCTCTGCCCAACACACACACACTTCCGCACCTGCCAGAGGTGAACACGGCTCAACTCCTGTCTGGGGTTCTGCCTTCTGTGTTGGGACTTACCCAAGTTACCAGCAAGTCCCTAAGGCAAGACTGAACCAGGTGCCATAATTCCTGATACCTCTTTGGACACAGAGGCTGCCACCTCCACCGCAGGGGCCTGGGTGACATGCCCCAGCCAGGCACCATCCCTCCTCCACAGCCACTCTTGAAAGCTCCCATTCTGCCCACAGGTTCCTAGGCACCCAGGTGGGGTCAGCCATCATCTCCTCTGAAGTGTGGGATGTCACTGGAGAGGTCAACATGGCCGTGACATTTCATCTGCAGCACCAGGCCCAGGTACTGGGTGGCGCTTCTGGGAAGCAGCCATCCTGGCGCATGTGTCCTGGCTCAGTTCCCCCAACCCCCAGTATTTATTCATTGGACAACCAAGGCCTACTAATGCACACAAAATGTACCTGCAAGTCACCTCCATTGTCCTCAAGGGAATGGGAAGGGAAGCGATTGACTGCAGGGGCACCTTATGGCAGGTCGCATTAATGAATGGCGCATTCATTACTCCTCCAACTGTGCAATTTATCCTCAGCTTGGGAGGGCTAATGTGATTGGCCCCAGCTTGTAAGTGGCAGAGCTGGGATTTCATTCTAGGTCTGCGTAACTTGAAAACCTGTTAGTTCTCATGGAGTCATTCACTGCGGCGTGTGCAGTGAATTCATTCATTCACTCACTGCAGTGTGTGTGCAGGGGCCGTCACATATGAATGTGCTTCATACAAATAAAAATAACCTCAATGTCCATCAGTAGGGAACTACTTTAAAAGTTTTATAGGTCTGGGCACGGTGCCTCATGACTGTAATCCCAGCACTTTGGGAGGCTAAGGAGGGCAGATCACTTGAGGTCAGCAGTTTGAAACCAGCCTGGCCAACATGGTGAAATCTCATCTCTACTAAAAATACATAAAAGTTAGCCAGGCATGGTGGTACACGCCTGTAGTCCCCGCTACTGGGAAGGCTGAGGTAGGAGAATCGCTTGAACCCAGGAGGCGGAGGTTGTAGTGAGCCGAAATCGCACCACTGCCCTCCAGCCTGGGCAACAGAACAAGATTCTGTCTCAAAAAACAAACAAAAAAAAGTTTTGTAGATACATAAGGTCAGCTCTCCATATGGGACGGTTTCACCACCAAGGATTCAAGCAACCATGGATGGAAAATATTCAGAAAAAATAGCATCTGTACTGAACATCTATAGACTTTTATTTTGGGGGTCATAAATAAGACAATATAACAGCTATTTATATATTTATATTTTATTTTCTAAGCAAGATAGCATAACAGCTATTTATATAGCATTTAAGTTGTATTAGGTATTACAAGTAATCTAGAGATGACTTAAAGTATACAGGAGTGGCCGGGCGCGGTGGCTCAAGCCTGTAATCCCAGCACTTTGGGAGGCCAAGACGGGCGGATCACGAGGTCAGGAGATCAAGACCATCCTGGCTAACACGGTGAAACCCCGTCTCTACTAAAAAACACAAAAAACTAGCCAGGCGAGGTGGCGGGCGTTTGTAGTCCCAGCTACTCGGGAGGCTGAGGCAGGAAAATGGCGTGAACCTGGGAGGCAGAGCTTGCAGTGAGCTGAGATCACGCCACTGCACTCCAGCCTGGGCTACAGAGCGAGACTCTGTCTCAAAAAAAAAAAAAAAAAAGTATACAGGAGCATGTGTGTAAGTTATATGCAAATACTATGCCATTTTTTCACCAACATGGTGAAACCCTGTCTCTACTAAAAATACAAAAAATTGACGGGGCGTGGTGGCATGTGCCTGTAATCTCAGCTACTGGAGGCTGGGGCAGGAAAATCACTTGAACCTGGGAGGCAGAAGCTGCAGTGAGCCGAGATCGCACCACTGCACTCTAGCCTGGGTGACATGTAGGTTGCTATGAAGATCAGCTACAATAAAGGACACGAAAGTGCTTGGCAAGACACAAAGTGAGGTGTGATTACCATCACCCTCGCCAGTCAGGACAGATGGCCCAAGTCCCAAGCTCAGGCTACCTTCACTACCTAGACTGCGGCTGGTACCACTGGCCGCTTGATGTGTCTTCACTGCTTAATGACATGTTATAAAATCTATATTTTTGTCATTGTTTAATTACAAAAGAACTAACGCATGCATCATAACACATTCAAACCCAGACCTAACCACTGTTAAGTTCACTGTGTTTGCTCCCACACATGCTGTGTGTGTACGTGTGTGTATGTTTTCACAAGTATGCAGACCTTAATTTTTCACATAAATGGGCATATATCATGCCCAATGTTGTGAATTCTTCATTTACTGAACAACGTAACACAGAGAGCTTTCCACATCAGTAGCCAGAGGTCTGTGTGTTCATGTTACCAGAGGAAGTATCCCAAGGAGAGGAGAGGCGCAGTTGCTTAACCACTCCCCAGTGGGCACAAGTTGCTTAACCACTCCCCAGTGATGGCTGCTTAGCTCGTTCCCAGTTTTTCCACCTTCCACACCAGAGAGTCTGCACTCTCCTCCCTCTGCCTCCCCTCTGCCCCTTCATCCACAACGCATGGTGGGCAACCCCCCGGTCCCTAAAATGCAGAGTCCTTGGCGTCCCTCCATTCTCCTGGTCTCTCTCCTTTCCCATCCACACTCACACCTGCACCCTGCTGCTCAATCCACGCTCATGCACCTGCCCTGTCCCTGTCTCCTGCCTCCAGACCTTCCGTCATAAGCTGGTGGAGCCTGTCTGTGCTTTCTGGAACTACAGTATCAGGTTAGTTTCCATTTCCAGGTTTTGTTTTTGTTTTTGTTTTGTTTTGTTTTGTTTTGTTTGAGATGGAATCTTGCTCTGTCGCCCAGGCTGGAGTGCAGTAGTGCAGTCTTGGCTCAATACAACCTCCATATCCCTCAAGCGATTCTCCTGCCTCAGCCTCTCAAGTAGCTGGGATTACAGGCGCCCGCCATCACTCCCAACTAATTTTTGTATTTTTAGTAGAGACAGGGTTTTGCCACGATGGCCAGGCTGGTCTCGAACTCCTGACCTCAGGTGATCCACCCGCCTTGACCTCCCAAAGTGCTAGGATTACAGTGAGCCACCGAACCCAGCCTTTAAGATGATTTTTTAAAAAGATGTCCACTGTGCTTGGGGATGAGGCAAGACTTACACATGGTTTTGACCTTCGTTCACCATCTGCCTTTCACGGTGACTCCAGGCTCCTCCCAGCTCTAGGACACGCTGGGGCAGGAGGATGTGTTACCCAGGGCGTAGTGAGCTCCCTGTCATGAGAGTATGTGCAGGAGGAAGCACTCACTCTGTGAGATGCCTAAGAAGGGACTCATCTGTCAAATGGGTATTGAACTTGATCTATCTGAGGCCAGGGCCCTAGGACTCTTGAAGGAGCAGAGCAGGCTCCAGGGATTAGCCCGGCTCCCTGCCCTGGATCTTTAGCTGAGGTAGGGAACTGTGGTCCCAGTGGCTCAGTAATTAATGAAGTTGATAAACGGCGATCACTGGTATCAGCCCTGCCCTCCTACCATCCTAAGAATGTCAAGCATATTTTATAGGTGAAAAGCTGAGACCCAGGAAGGGGCAGTGACTCTCCAAGGTCACGTAGCTGGTTAGAGGCAGGGCAGTGATGGGCCCCAGGCTTTGGGGACAGCCTTTCCCCTGCTTGCTCCTGGCCCCTCACCCCCTTGTCCACCTTATCTCAAGAGCCCTCTGTTCCCTCCCCATCCCCCAAGCCCATATACAGGGGGTGCCTGGGCCACCACGGGCTGCTCCGTGGCTGCCCTGTACCTGGACTCCACCGCCTGCTTCTGCAACCACAGCACCAGCTTTGCCGTCCTGCTGCAAATCTATGAAGTACAGGTAAGTGCATGGTGGGAAGGGGGTGTCAGGAGGGGGGTTCTTAGCTGGAGGTGAAGAGAAGAGCCAATAGGTAGTAAGAAGAAGCCTCTGAGGGATGCCAGCTGTCATAGATTGTGGGGGACAGGGCTGAGCGCAATAGTTCATACCTGTTGTCCCAGAACTTTGGGCGGCTGATCGCTTGAGCCCAGGAGTTCAAGACCAGCCTGAGCAACATGGCGAAACCCTATCTCTACAAAAAACGCAAAAATTAGCCAGGCATGGTGACTCGCACCTATAGTCCCAACTACTCAGGGGGCTGAGGCAGGAGGATTGCTTGAGCTCAGGAAGTCGAAGCTGCAGTGAGCCAAGATCATGCCACTGCATTCCAGTCTGGGTGATAGAGCAAAACCCTGTCTAAAAATAAATGAGTAAATAATAAATTGTAAACAACTTGTTGGGGGGAAACTCTAAGGGGACATCAGGAGGGGCTGGACTCACTGGAGCTGGAAAGGGGCCCTGAGTGGTCACTTGCTGAGAAGTCAGGTGAGATGGGACCTGAGCCTCAGGAATGCTGGGGTCACCTGGCCTGTTGAGGGGCACATTAGAAAAACATGTTACCAAATGCATTTTTCCTGTAAAGTCAGGGCCAGGCATGGTGTCTCCCACCTATAATCCGACCACTTTGGGAGGCCAAGGCAGGCTGACCATTTGAGGTCAGGAGTTGGAGACCAGCCTGGCCAACATGGTGAAACCCCATCTCTACTAAAAATACAAAAATTAGCTGGGCATGGTGGCCCGTGCCTGTGGTCCCAGCTACTCAGGAGGCTGAGGCACAAGAATCACTTGAGCGCAGTGGCTCAAGCCTGTAATCCCAGCACTTTGGGAGGCTGAGGCGGGTGGATCACGAGGTCAGGAGATCGAGACTATCTTGGCTAACATGGTGAAACCCCGTCTCTACTAAAAATACAAAAAACTTAACATGGTGAAACCCCCGTCTCTACTAAAAATACAAAAACTAGCCGGGCGTGGTGGCGTTCGTAGTCCCAGCTACTTGGGAGGCTGAGGCGGAGAATGGCATGAACCCGGGAGGCAGCAGACGGTGAGCCAAGATCACGCCACTGCACCCAGCCTGGGAGGACAGCGAGACTCCGCTCAAAAAAAAAAAAAAAAAAAAAAGAATCACTTGAACCCAGGAGGCAGAGGTTGCAGTGAGCTGAGACTGCGCCACTTGCACTCCAGCCTGGGGGACAGAGTGAGACTCTGTCTCAAAAAAAAAAAAAAAAAAAGAAAAGTCAGAGCATAGATGCTTTTCCACATCATGAACGATCCACCCACAGCCCCATTCTGACGACACTCCATGGTCCCTAGGATCCCTCCCCATGGGCACATCGGTCAGCGCTCTTAATAGCTGTCCAGTTGGTGGAATCTCGGCCAGTTGGGGTCAGTCTAGGGAGAGCCAGCAGGAGAGAAGGACATGCTCACACCTGCTTATTAAATGCCTACTGTGTGTAGGCCTGGGCCCTGCTGGCTGCTGCTGCACTGCAGAGGTGAATATGGCATGGGGTGCCTTAGAGTCACCAGGTGGGGCGAGGTCTGGCCTGGGTCGCGTCTGGGTGGTGCCAGGGGATTTCTCTGTCCCTCCACACAGAGAGACCCTGAGGAGGAGTCGCTGCTGAGGACTCTCTCATTTGTTGGCTGTGGTGTGTCCTTCTGCGCCCTCACCACCACCTTCTTGCTCTTCCTGGTGGCCAGGTGAGGAGAGTTCACCCCCGTAGCCTGGCGGCCTGGGCCCTCCCCGCCTTGCTCAGGCCTCCACGTCCCCATCGGTCGGGTGTCCACCCTTGGTCCTGGCAGAACCTCGGTCTGAGCCTCTCCTTAGGATGTGCAGGGTCCCCTGTGGAGCTGCTTTCTTTCCCTCCATCTGCCCAGGCACAGGGGACCGGGCAGGACAGGGGCCTGCGGAGTGTGGGGACCGGCAGTGGTCTTGTTAACGGACTCCTCTGTCCTCTCCAGGGTCCCCAAGTCGGAGCGAACCACAGTCCACAAGAACGTCACCTTCTCCCTGGCCTGTGCAGAGGGTTTCCTCATGATCAGCGAGTGGGCCAAGGCCAATGAGGTGGGCGGTCAGTGGGTGGGCCGGAAGCCCAGGGCAGCCTGGGAAAGTGCCTGTGGGTTTTCCTAGGGTGACCCCCTGCCCCCCACCATTTTCACTTGGCTCCACTTCCCTAGGGAGGAGCAGGGCCCAGGGAGGAAAGGCTCCAAATGGTGGAGCGGGGCCCAGGCTGCTGCCCAGAGGCCTCACCCGCTGACACTTCTTTGGGTTGGCAAGGCCAGGCTGGGCACAGGGCTGCGGGGCCGGCCTGCACCTGCGTCTGACCTCGGACCTAGGTGGGGACCCCACCCTCCCCCTGCTCCCACAGGTGGCATGTGTGGCTGTCACAGTCGCAATGCACTTCCTCTTTCTGGCGGCATTCTCCTGGATGCTGGTGGAGGGGCTGCTGCTGTGGAGGAAGGTGGTAGCTGTGAGCATGCACCCAGGACCAGGCATGCGGCTCTACCACACCACAGGCTGGGGTGAGGCCTGCTCTGCGCCCGCACTCTCTTCTCCCCAGCTGTACCTTGCAGGGCCGACCCTGCCATCTAACATGGCCCCACGCTCAGCACTTAGCACCCAGCACCACTCAGCATCCGGCATTTAGCATCACCCAGCACCCAGCAACACCCAGCCCCATCTCTGACATGACCTCAATCTCCTTAGTCCTATTAACCTCCAATTTACCCAACCCCCTTCCTCATAATCCCTCTCCACTTCCCAGCCTCCCCTCTCCATCCACAGTGCTATCTCCCCAAATCTGTAGCCAGCCAGTTGCCCAGCCTCCATCTCTGGAGTCGCCCAGCTGTAGCTTCCAAAGCAGCCTCAGCTCTCCCCACTCCCAAACTACTGTGGCTCCAATGCCACCCCAACAGTATCAGAGCCCCCAGCCCTGCTCCTTGGACCTCCCCAGTGGCCCAAGTACAACCTCCAGTAGGGGACAGCTGCAGCTTGGCGGGGGCAGTTCTGGGTCCTGGAGAAGAAAGAGCAGGTGACCCGGCCTTGAGACCCCCTTCTCCCTCCCCTAGGCGTGCCTGTGGGCATTGTGGCAGTCACCCTGGCCATGCTCCCCCGTGATTACGTGGCCCCCGGACATTGCTGGCTCAATGTGCACACATATGCCATCTGGGCCTTCGTGGGGCCTGTGCTCTTCGTGCTGACTGTGAGCAGGGGACCTGCAGGGGAGGGGCATGTTGGGGACGGGGAAGGCCTCTCACCCACTGACCCCAGGTCTCCAGGCCAACACCTGCATCCTGGCCCGTGTGGTGATGGTCACCGTGTCCAGCGCCCGCTGCCGTGCCCGCATGTTGAGCCCACAGCCCTGCCTTCAGGAGCAGATCTGGACCCAGATATGGTGAGGCCCCAGAACGGGGGTGCCAAGAGGAAGCAGGAAGTGCAGGGTCAGCCGGCGCCAGGCACGAGGCTCACCGGGCGAGAGCACGTGCGAGTCTGTGTCCAGAGCGTGGCCGTGTGGCCATGCCCGAGTCTGTGTTGAGTATGTGGGTGCATATGTGTCCCTGCATCTGTGTCACACACGCTCGGGCATGTCAACTTGTGTCAGCATGCACCTCTGCACCCATGCATCCATGCGTGTCACATGTGGGGATGGTCACTGATCCGTGTGAGGGAGCTGTGGACATCAGCCACTGTTCGAGGGGTGCACTGTCTGTGGAAGGTACTGATAGCCTACAGGAGACAAAGTAGGGGAGACCCTCAAATCAGGGCTAGCCCCAGACGTTCAGGGTTAGCTCCAGACGTTCAAGTTCAGGGTGAGGACCTGGGTCCCTGTTCCTGCCAAAGACCCCCATCGCCCTCCGGGGTCACGCTCTGCAGGAGGGGGACCCCACCGGCCTCTTTTCCCAGCCCTGCCTCCTTGCTGGCTTTCTCCTTCCCCACCCATCCTCCACCAAACACAGGGCAGCCCAAGCTGGGGGGGATCCCCGAAAAGCCAGGGAACCCCAGGGTCCTTAGAGAGGGAGAAGGGAGTCCTGACCCCATCCCTGCTGCTCCCACTGCTCAGGCCTCGGCCCCTGCTCTGAACAGCTACCACCCCATTCCTTCCAGCCAGGTTGGGGGCTGGGACCCCATCTCCCAAGTGCCACTACCCTACTTCATGCCACCTCTGTCTCTGAGGAGGGGGGCAACAAAGTCCAGTCAAAAGTTCTGGCTCCCTCTAAGTCCTGCTGAGCCATGGTCCTAGCCCTCAGCTGCCACCCCACTCCAGGCACTTACAGGTGCTGCTCTCCCTGGAACCCTGCGGGGAGCTCCTCAGGCCTCCAACCCCCGTCAGCCCTGCCTGCCCTCCTACAGGGCCACGGTGAAGCCTGTGCTGGTCCTGCTGCCCGTCCTGGGCCTGACCTGGCTGGTGGGCATCCTGGTGCACCTGAGCCCCGCCTGGGCCTACGCTGCCGTGGGCCTCAACTCCATCCAGGTACCTCCAGCCCCAATCTTCTGGGACTAGGCCCTGATACGCATGAAAGCCTCGGAGGGGACGACTGGGGTGTCAGGGACTGGGGCGGGGGGTGATCCCTCCATCATAGGAGACATTCAACAGCAACTGGGACATTCTCTCTAAGAAGGAGTTTTGAGGGTGGGGGGAACAGGCAACCTCCAATCAACCAGCGGTTCGTGCAGGAGGCTCCTGGGGCCCCTCTGCCCGCTGCGGAGACTTAGGCCCAGAAACAGGGTGTTAACGCTCACTGTGCTTGGACACTCAGGGTCGGGCAGAAATTCCAGCCCCTTAGCTGGTGCCAGAGCCACTTAGTTCTTGCCAGGAAGCTGGGGAGGGGATGCAGAGCATCAGTCCCCTCCTGCTTGGGGTCTGCGGCCTGCTGGGATAGCCGTTTAGAAGAGGTTTGGTGAGGAGGCCTGTTCATGAGGCTGCAGGAAAGGGCCCGGGCTCCCCGGGTCTCTCAGGGCCTGTGTCAGGGAGGGGGCCAACTAGGTCCCTCTTGGGGGATTGGCAGGTCTGTGGAGGACCAGAACATTAACCGCAGTGACAGCCAGGGGGTGGGTGCTGGCAGTCAGGCAGGCCCACCGAGGCCCTTCCTGGCCCCTCCCTTTCCCTCAACCTCCCTGGACCATTCCGCCAGGCACCTCTCCCTGTCACCTGCACTGCTCCCCGCTTTCCCGGCCCGGGTCCCTCTCAGGGCCAAAAGGTAGGTGGGCGAGGGCCCAGGCTGGACTGTGCCAGGCTCAGGAAGTCAGGTGCAAACTCCACCCAGGGTCCGTGTGCCCTCCGAGTTGGGGATCCTCCATCTTTTCCTTGAAGAATGGGAGCCAAGGCGGTAACAGCCACTCACAGTGCCTGGGTGCTCCCTCTGAGCCCCAGGCCAGGCTCCTATTTTTATCTCTCAGCAAGCCTTGTAAGTGGGGAAACTGAGACCTCATGAGGTCACCTGCCCAAGGCCCCCCAGGAGGCAGCATCAGTGCTGGGACACCACTCCAGAGTCTGTGTTCTCAGCCACAGGGCATCCAGCTGACTGCAGATGGGTCCTGGCTGGTCCCTGGGAGCATGCTTGGACCCAGTTACTCATTCATCCATGTGCTATTCACAGCTTGCCCGGTGTGTACCAGGCACTGTGCTGGGTGCCAGGCCACAGCAGGAAACGAGGTAGCAAAAAGCCCCTGTATTTGTGGAGCTGCCCTTGGTGGAGCAGGAAAACCATGGCCATGATGAAGAAATGAAGTGTTCAGTGAGGGGACGAGGCAGGGGAGCCCTCTTCCAAGCCCCACGCCCCCAAGGGCTTCATGGCTGGGTTCAGTCTGGCTGGCCCCTGGCGAGGCTTCTCCACCTGTCACATGGTGGGGCAGGTGGTGGCATCTTGTTGCCATGGCGATTCCTCCAGCTCTTTCCCAGGTGCCCCTCTCCACATCATGGGGCGTTGGATCCCTGATGCTCTCTGTCCTCACCCGTGCCCCTCAGGTGGGCAGAGACACAGCCATCGGGCAATGCCACTGTCACACCGTCTCAGCTCCCTCCCATCACTTCTCATTCCTTCCTCTCTCTCTGTCCCAATCTTGGTCTCTGAATTTTCTCTGGTTCTGTCTCTCAGGCTCCCCCTCTGTCACTGTCCCCCTCTCCCTGTGCCCCTCTCACCCTCTGGCCGTGGATATTTTTTCTGGCACTGACCCCACCTGGCTCTTTCTGGGTCTGTCTTCATGTTTCTCCACTTCTCTCCTCTGTCTCTCTGACACCGGATTGTTTTTTGTTGGTTGGTTTGTTGGCTTTTTTTTTTTTTTTTTTGGAGATGGAGTCTCATTCCGAGTGCAGTGGCACAATCTCGGCTCACTGCAACCTCTGACTCCCAGATTCAAGCGATTATCCTGCCTGAGGATATCCTGAGTAGCTGGGATTACACACCTGGATAATTTTTGTATTTTTAGTGGAGACGGGGGTCTCACCATGTTACCCAGGCTGGTCTTGAACTCCTAACCTCAAGTGATCCGCCCGCCTCAGCCTCCCAAAGTGCTAGCATTACAGGCATGAGCCACCTTGCCCAGCCCTCTGACACCGGTCTTTTTATCTCTGCCTCTCCATTTCCATGTGCATGACCCTCTCTTGCCCCTGCCTAAGGCAGCCTCAGATCATCCTTGAGGTGCTCACCTGGTGAAGGCAAGGAGAGGCTGCCTTAGGCAGGAGCTCAGAAGGCAGGAGTGGGGTCTGGGTCCTGCCGCTGACAGTCACATGACCCTCTTGGGCTCAGGGTCCTGTTCTCTCAGTCCCTCTCCCCAGGCACAGCCTTTCCCTTCACCTCTCCTTTGGTCTCTCTCTCTGTGTGTCCACCGAGATCTCTCTGTGTCTTCCCTTCGCACTCCACCTCCATCCCTATCCCCCTCTCACTCTCCGTCAGTCTTGGGCATAAGTTGGGTACATCCCACTCTTAGGAGGGTGACCAAGTGACCAGGGAGGAGGCCTGGGACTCAGGGATGAGACTCTGCCCAACCTCATTCACTCTCTGGAAGTAATTTGTATCCTTCTGGCCCCTGTGCCAGGTTGTGTCGAGGGAGAGCAAAGCCTCACTTCTATAACCAGCCGTAGCTCACACTTGCCCTGGTGGACAGAGCCTTGTTGTGAGGCCTGGAGAAGTGGCACCTGGCCTCCGTTTCTACATCTAACTGAAGGGGATCAGATTCCCACCTGCCTCATGGGATCATCGTGGAGTTTGGCTGACGTAACATTTGCCAAGGCTACGCACAATACCTGGCACGTGCTAGGAATCCCACGAGTGTGAGCTCATTGTTTTGTTCAATTGTTCAACACACCTCCCGGTGCCCTGGCTGGCCTGCACGCTGGGGGACGTGGAGATGCCCAGGGCCAAAGAATTCTGTGACATTCTCAGCCTGAGGGAGAGGCAGACATTAAACCCACACAACCACAGTGTGTCGTGACTGAGGCCGAGAGAAAACGGACCTTGGTCACAGCAGTGTGGGGACAGAGGAACAGCTCATCAGAGGCAGAATGGGCCACCTGGAGGGGGTCACTCTCAGCCAAGACCTGACAGCTGTATGGAGAGGGGGAAAAGAATGTTTTAAGCCGGGGGAGGGGCATGGTGGGGTCAAATGGCGGGGAGACATGAGGGGTAAGGCTGGTGAGAAATGGGGCAGGAGGGAGTGTGGAGGGCCGATAGCATAGGGTCCTCAAAGCTGTTGTAAAGAGCTCAGACTTGGCCGGGCGCAGTGGCTCACGCCTGTAATCCCACCACTTTGGGAGACTGAGGCAGGTGGATCACCTGAGGTCAGGAGTTCGAGACCAGCCTGACCAATATGGTGAAACCCCGTCTCTACTACATACAAAAAATCAGCTAGGTGTGGCGGCAGGTGCCTGTAGTCCCAGCTACTCAGGAGGCTGAGGCAGGAGAATCTCTTGAACCAAGAGGGCGGAGGTTGCAGTGAGCCAAAATTGTGCCATTGCATTCCAGCCTGGGCAAGAAGAGTGAAAACTCTGTCAAAAAAAAAAAAAGAAAAGAAAAGAAAAAAAAGAAAAGAAAGAAAGAAAAGCTCAAATTTTGTCCCGGGGTAGTTGGGAGCCATGCAGGGCGTCAGGCAGGTGCTGGTGTTCTTGGGTTGGCATTTGGAAAGATGCCTTTGGGTGGTGAGGAGTGGGTAGAAGGAAATGGGATGGAGAAGGCAGTGCAGAGGCTACAGAGAAAGAACAGGCTGGGCGTGGGGACCTGGGAGTCTTTGGGGTCTGTCTTGGAGAATGGGGGTGATGGTATCACCTCAGTTGGTGCCTGGGCACCAGGGAGACCAGCCAGGCTCTTGGGCTCCAGCTTTCAGGCCTGGGAGGCTGGAAGGCCCCAAGGAATTCCAGGCCCCCACCTGTGCCCTCCTGCCTGGGCCGCAGCACAGAAGCAGCTGCCTGTGACACTGCCCGGGGGGATCCCAGGACAGCCTCAGGGCTGGACCACACTGGAGCTTAGGACCCATTCCTCTGTCCCCCACCCCCAGCTCCTGGTCCCTCTCCATCAAATGCGGAGAATGAATCCACCCCCGCCACAGACTTGCTGCGAGGGTCAAGTGAGGGCCCAGATGTGATGGTGCAGGGAGGGTGGTGAGGGCCCTCTTGGTCCCACGGTGTGGGAAGAGGGAGCCAGCTCCGCCCCAGCCACTGTGTGAGTCCCTCACAGGCAGCACCTCCCATCCCCTCGGGAGCCAAGTCCCGGCCTCATCTCCCCTTTCCAGATGAAAAGACGGAGACTCAGGGAGGTGAAGGCCACTCAGCTAGAGGCACAGGGAGAAGGCACTCACAGGGCTGTTGTCCCAGGACCTGACTTGGCCTTGGAGCCTCAGGAAGGTGTCCCCCTCCTAACCCTACCGCACAGCATAGTGAGGCGGTGAGGATGGGACAGGCCCAGGGTGGGGCACAGAGGACTGGAGTCAGAGAGGCTGCCTGGTGAACAGAGGCTGAAGGTTGGGGTTACATGGGACAAAATCCCTTCTGGGCCTCCGTCCTGCTAAATGCCACAGCTACCCCTCCACAGGCAGACACGAGGGGACCTGTCTCTGGGTATCTCTGCGAGTGTCTCTGCCCCTGGGGGGGCGCCAGGACCCCAGGCAAGGCCAGGCTGTGGGGGATGGGGTCGGGGGCTCAGGGCTGAGGCATCGCCCACTCGCTGGGTCTGTCCTCAGGGCCTGTACATCTTCCTGGTTTATGCTGCCTGCAATGAGGAGGTGAGTCTGGGGGCGCCGGCTGCAGGGAGGGGGGTCCGAGGGGTGGGGAGGGTCCCCGACCTGACCTCCAAGCGTTCCCCCAGGTGCAGAGCGCCCTGCAGAGGATGGCTGAGAAGAAGGTGGCCGAGGTGCTCAGGACGCTGGGGGTGTGGGTGGGGGCGGGAGGCCCCCAGAGCCAGGTCCCAGCCCCCACATCCTCTCCTTTCAGTCCTGTGCCAGCCCTGCCAGCTGGGGGACCAGCCTGAGGCCCCCAGGTTCCTGGGAGGCAACCCGAGGGAGCCCCATAGCCTTGGCTCCACCCCGGAGACACGCGGCTCTCAGAGGTACTCTCAGCACCCAGGTGGGGGTGCCGCCCAGTGCCTCAGTTTCCCCAGCACTCAGGCAGTGCTGGGAGGACAAGGGCAGATCCTTTTAGTCCATCTGAAAAAAGGAAACCAGGGCCCAGGAAACTCTGCAGCCCTGTGGCTTGAGCAATGTCCTGTCACTCATTCCCCACTGCCAGGAAACCCGGGCTCCTGGGGCCTGGCCCAGGTATAGGCTTGTCCAGGGTGACCTTCCCTGGGGCTCCATGCCGAAGGGTTTGGGGGATTCCTGGAGATGGTGAGTAAATGGGGTCGGGGCTCTGAGGCAGGGCATGGGTTGGAAGACTTTGAGGCCAGGCCAGAGGTTCCAATCCTAGCTCCCAGTCACCTCCTGTGTGCCCCTAGGCAAGTTCCTTTTCCTCTCTGGGCCTCATTACTAATCTGTGAGGTAAACCTTGGAGTGGATTCTTAGAGTATTGGATCCTGAGGTCCCCACTCCCAGGATTGGGGAGCAGAGAGAGCTCTTCCTGCCTTCATCTCTGAAAAGTTTGCATTTTCCTCACTAGGGACCTATGGCCCTAGAACCCCCTCAGCCTTCTCCTCCATTGCAAACCCGGAGAGACAGGTGAGGCTGGGACAGCGTGGGTCACACAGGGCTCTGCTAGGGGGCTGGCAAGGCCAGCAGGCAGGGTCAGGAAGCCACAGGGCCTGGGTAGGGCCGGGATGGGGGCTTCCCCGGGATCTGTTTGTCTATTCCTGGGCTGAAGGGCCCAGGGAGGGGGAGCTGCTGGCCGCAAGCTGGCAGAGGCCCCTATAGCCAAGGATCCCCAGGGCAAGGGGCACCAGAAGGAGTGGGAGCCACCCCTGTGACGGCCCCTCTGTCCTCAGGCTGTGGAACTGACAGCATTCAAAGCTTCAGGTACAGTTCCCACCTCAGTGGGTCCCCTCTTTCCTTTTTGGGCCTGGATACCCGCTAAGCCCCCCTGATTTCAAATGGAAGTGATTTGAAATCAATATACCCCAACCTCCCACAATTGCAGAGGCCCTCCCCTCACTCCACAGGTCCCCTGGGAGCACTGGGGGCCTGTCGGGGACCAGGCAGTACCCCTTGGGAGGGCTTCGTTAGAGAGTAGGTCATGGAACCCTAGTCTGAGCAGGCGCTGCCATGGAGCACAGCCTGCCTCCCTCTGTCCTCCCCTCTCTCTGCCCCCCAAGTCCAGCACCCCCCCTCACCCTCTGAGGGCTCCAGCCTGATGCCCTAGGACCCAGAGCCTTCCAAACCCCCTGAGGCACAAGTGCTTTCCTCCAAGGCTGCAGGTCACCAGCTGATGGAGGCATGACAGGGGCTGGGCGGTGGCAGGGGGTACTGTGGGAGGGTGAGGACACCCCAGGTCCGGCTCAGAAAGAGGACTGAAGCCTGGGGAGCTCAGCCGGGCCCAGGGGAGCCATGGGGACCCTGCCCGCTGGTCGCTTCCCTGAGGGAACACTCCTTCCATCTAAAACCCACAAGGCCCCAGCCTCGGCCAGGCGACTGTTTCCAGTCAAGGCAAGAGCCCTGTTTACCAGGCTCCTCCCAGGGGCAGGCTCAGTGCTCAGCCCAGGCACCTGCTGATTCTGAGCCAGTGAGGGGGAAGTGGAGGTGCCTTTCTCCACCCATTGCGCGGATGAGGAAGTTGAGGCACAGAAAGGCGCAGCCGCTAGCCAGAGCCCGAACACAGCCAGGGCCAGGCCCCCACTGGCGCAGATGGGGGACTCCAGGCACAGCAGTAGCCACACGGTTGTAAACGTAGGGCCACGTGAACCCGGGTCCGTGGGATCCCAGTCCCCGACCGGCCCCCATCCCCGGCTGGCATCTCAGACCCGGAGAGTCTCAGCTTCCCCTTCTGCAGAATGGGCTGGAGGCGCCCCCCATAGGCCCGCCCAGACGTGCCCCGGGGCCAGCGCCCCTCCCCCACCCGCCCCACCCCCACCCGCGGGCGCCGCGGCTGCAGGAACAAGAGAGCGGCGGCGCCTCTGCGCTCAAGTGACAGCGCCTTTGTCTCCGCTGAATGGGTGCGTTGCTAGGGCCGCTCGTAGCAACGGAGCCGCTTCCACCTGGGCCCCACCCTCTGGACCCCCCACCCGGCCCGGCTCTCTGGACGCCCCCACTTCCAGTCCCGACCCCACCCCGCAGGCCACTCAGCGGCCGGAGTTGTGAAGGCGCGGGGCAGCGGGGGCTGCCGGGCTGTGTCCCACGCGGGGCCGCACCCAACCCCTCCTGAAAGGCCGCGGAGCCCTCGGGACATGCGGGTGTTCCGAGGATGGAGAAACTGACTCACAACCAGCGAGGACTGGCCAGGGTCTCCCCCAGCCTCAGTTCCCAGAGCCCATCCATCCCCGGGTTCTCCACCAGGATCCTCTGCCAGCCCAGCCCAAGGGCGCACTTTCCCACCAGGTTTCTAGGGAGTGTCTGGGAAACTCGTCGCCAGACCCTGCCCAGCTCAGCTCTGCTGGGACCCCAGACCCCAGAAGGGCGCAGCGGGAGTCCCTGAGAGCCAACAGCGGCCCCTGCTCCGGCGGCGGCCTCAGCCTCTGATTTTTCCTAAAGGAGTGTGGGCTTCAGCCCCCTGCTCCCCTAACCCACCAGGTCCCCAGGCTCTTTCTCCCAGTCTTTGCCTATCTGTGATCTGCTCCTTCCCACCTGCCCCGAAGTTCCAACGGGCCCTGCGGTGTCTGGTAATAAATAGAATTGTTGGGTTCTCCTGTCCTCTGGGAGTCATCCTGGCCTGGGCAGAGGGAGAGGACGCTGGGCCCTCTGGGAGGAGGGAGGAAGCCAGAGAAGCTGCCACTTGGCTTTGGGACTCCAGGGCGTCAGCCTCATCATCAGGGTAGGCGCAGCCAGCATTTATGAGCGCTTGCTGTATCACTGGACGGTGCTGAGCCCTTTACCACCTCAGAGTCACGGGTCCTCACTGCCGTGCTGAGCCGCCGTCACTCCTGCTGTGCAGAGGAGGACACAGGCTCAGACCATTCAGGCCTGGGGTCTCCCAGGCCCTGTAGCAGAGGTGGCAGGGGTGACAGTTGGTATGAGTGGGAACCACCCAGGCAGACAGCTCGCAGGTAAGTTGCTAGTCTGGACACCTCCAAGTCACACCATGGGACCAGGACCTGCCACCATAGTTGTGTGGCTGTGGGTAAGGTCATTCTGAATCTTGGTCTCTTCTCGGTAGAATGTGTTTCAGGGCAGGGAGGGGAGCAGGGATGTGAGGGCTCTGCACCAGGCCTGGTTCCAGGGTGGACCCCAAGGCTGGCGGCAGGGAAATGAGGGCCCAGGCTCTGGGAGTGGAGGCACACAGGTAGCCAACACTGTCCTGCTGACGCCAGCCTGGCTCACATCCTGTTGGGGCCAGGTGACAGGTGACACGGCATAGCCAGGACCTCCAAGCAGCTCCCGGGAGGTGGGGCAGGGCTGGATGACAAGCAGACGGGACCCAGTGAGGCATGAATAGCTCCCAGGAGCCTCCAGCTTCCACGCTGGACCCTGCCTGGGTTGAGTCTGGGACAAAAATCTGTCCAGGGTGTTGGCCCCACCCACACAGGTATAGGGCCCGAGTGCTTCTTGCTGAGGATGGCTGTATAGCCTCTCCGTGCCCATCCGTCCTCTGTCGAATGGGGGACATCATACCCACCCAACGGGCCATGCGAGGGGTCCGCGCAGTCCTGCACTTGGTTCCTGGCACAGCCCTCAGCAAGCACTCAGAAAGTGTCAGCTGTGACCCGAGTCAGCTGTGGCCTGGGCTGTGGGGGCCAGAGCCTGTGGCCCAGAGGAGGTTCAAGGCCTTGAAGGCGCCAGGCTGGGGAGGCAGTTCAGAGAGAAGACAGCATGGCTCCGTGGGGCCAGCAGAGCCCCTGCCCTGTGCTGGGAACACTGGGCCAAGTGCGGCACTCTATCCTCAACGGGGACAAAAGGGGCAGGACCCTGAAGGGGCAGCAAGGAGGCAGGCAGGGCACTTGGTGGCCCCCCAACCACCTGCATCTCAGCACCCTCACCTTCAATGGGCTCCTGTCACCTCAAACACCCATCATATGGGCTGTGGGGGATGGGACAAATGTGGGACCAAGGGGTCCCTTCCCATCCCCCACCTTCCTCCATTCCATATCCCCCTTGTCCCCTACACACAGCCTCTCTTTACTCTCCAGTCAGAGTAACTTCTCCTACGTCCCCAAACACAGCCGCTGATACCCCTCCATCCTTCTGCTCACATTGTTGCCTCTGCCTGAACTGTCCCCACCTCCTATCTAGCTGGTGAACTCCTGGGCATCCTTCAAAACCCAATTTGGATGACACCTCTACTACAAAGTCTTCCTGTTCCGAAGACCCCCCATCTCTCCCAGGAGCAGGGTCAATCACTTCCTCATCTTGTCTGTCTGTCATATGAAGTATCACATCAGACTGCAGTCTAGTTTAAGATAGTCTCCGCCTACAAGACTGGACATTGCCCAGGGCAGGAACTAGGGCATCTGCAAGTGCCAAGAAGAAGAGGGACACCTTTTTCTTTGCATAAAAGCCACTGCCAAGCTGTGTGCCTAGGGCTACATCACCCTAGAGGGGACATGCTTTTCTAATTTGCATGAAGCATCGGGGGGCTGAGGGTGACCCTGGACATGAACTAGTCAAGTTGATCAAAGTGGATCAGGACAACGGAGCTTTGTACTGTGGCTGTGCCCCTCTTAGCTGTGTGACCTTGGGCAAGCTGCTTCGGCCCTCTGTGCCTCAGTTTCCTCATCTGTAACCTACAGAAGTGGCTTCAAAGAGCAGTCAGTGTGACCAGATGAGGCGGGAAGCGCTGGGCAGGGGTCCTGGAGTGGAGGAAGCCTCAGATGGTGGCGGTGCTCACTGCCGCCACCACGTGGGGCCAGGGAGGAATCTGTGAGGGATGTGGTGGGAGAGACAGGAAAGGGCAGGGCTCTGAGGGGTCTGATCTCCCAGGTCTGTGGTTCATGGGCCCTTGGCAAGTGCCTTCCCTTCCTAGAGTATAACCCTTGCCTTGCAGGAATGCAGCAGGGACCGTGAGATGAGGGTGACACACAGCAGGTGCCCCTTAAATGACTGCTCCTTCTGCCCCAAGATGGGGGCTGAGCCTGCATGGCCAGGGTACAACAGGTAGAGAAGCCACAGCATCCCCTGGGTCTCCCAGTGCCTCAGGGTGCCAGGGATGAGGTGGGGCCCAAACCTCAACCGTGCCTCGTGTCCCCCCACCCAGCCCCGCAGCCCACCTGCCTCCTCAGAGTTTTGAACCAAAGAGGGTCTGCGTGCCACCTCCATCCGAGTCAGAGTGCTGCCCCACCCTAGACCGCCCAGAACCACCTGAGTCATTCTGCTCTGGCCCCAGAATGTAAACAGGCAAAAGTAGCTGGAAACTAATTGCAAAATTTATTCCAGGGCTGCGGGGGCTGGGGTGATTCTTAAGGGCACTTCTCGTTTCAGGGCTATGGGTCTCCGGCCTTGGCAAGGGCACACATTTCAGGGGGCAGAGGTGGGGACTGAGACAGGGTGGTGGGAGGCTGGAGGCAGGAGGCAGGGGTGTCCAGTCTCCTCCAACTGGGCAGGCTCAGCACAAGCTGCAACAGTAACATGAAAGCGGGACGGACAGCAGGCACCCAGCCGGGGACAGGAGACAGCTGAGGCCTCTCCCTGGTGCTTTGCCCTGGGGAGTGTCTTTCATGACCTAGGGCAGGAGGCCAGGGAGCTGAGGGCCAGCTTCATGGGTTTGCAGCAACGGGTTGGAGCCACAGAAAGGGGATCAACAGCGCTTTCCCTGATCTACAGGCCCGTGCCCCTCCCAAGTTCACTTGCATTCCCACCCACAGAGACTTGAAGCCCCCAACGGGGCATCCTGCTGTTCACCTAGTGGGTGAAGGGCGGGCAACAGGGCTTCTCTGGATTGGGGCTGGGGCTCAGAAGTAAAGACCCAGCACCACCCCAAGGGTACTTGGTAGGCGAGTGTCTGGGGAGAAACCATCAGCTGTACTTAGTGGCAATCCCCAAGCCCCAGCTTCAGTCCTCAACTCTGTCCCCTTCCCTCCATCACACACACCTTTCAAGGAGTGTCTAGAAGCTTAAAAACAAAAAAAGGGAGGAAAAAACCTCTTGACTCCAACCTTGCAGATAAATACCAGCCTGGGAGGGCCACCTCTGGGTGGGGCTAGGATGTCGATTGTACCAAACCTTCTCCAGGTGGGAGAGGGAATCAGGGATGTCTGGAGCAAAGTTTTTTCCCCCGATGATGTATCAACGCTCCCTCTTGCAGAGGTCAGCTGGGGTAGAAGGGCTAGGGAGGTCCTGTTGTCCTAACCAGTCTCCTGGTGTCCTCTAGGGCCCAATAGCCCCTCTCAATTTAGCAAACTCAGTTATCCTTAGTTTACAAAACAGAGGATCTCCTTCCTGGTCTCTATTGGGGGGAACACTGGAGACCCTCTCTCCTCCCCCAGTTGATACCTGCTCAACTTCTCCCTGTCTCTGTTTTCAGGAGAGGAGGAAGGGATGACCTCTGATCCAAGGGACATCGAGGCCCACCAGGGAATCCCGAACCTCCTCTCCGGACCTGCAGGCTTCAGACTCCAGGAGGGAGCTGGGAGCCAGGGGGCGGGGGAGGGGGTGGTTAACAGCCACCTCCTTGGGGCACTCCAAGTAGCAGGCAAGTGCCAGTGGCCACCCCACCTCCGCCAAGCCCTGCCCAGCCTCACCCACCTTCCCAAACACACAGTGTCAGAACTGAGGGGCAGCGGCCTCTGGGACGGGGCTGGGGTTCCTGGGTGGGCATCAGAAAATGAACCATGTGGAGCCAGCGGCAGTGGTTGCGGCCCCGCCCCGGCCCCGCCCCCAGTCCCACCCCCAGTCCCGGCCCCGCCCCCGGCCCAGGCTCAAGTCTGCTTGGCTTGCAGCATCTCGATGAGCAGGTTGTTG